AGAAACATACCAAGGGAACATGAATCAAATATGCACTTTTATTCATTTATAATAAACTCATAAAGCACATCATTCTGATTGAAGCTAAGGGCATACAAAACTGTCCAACAGAAGGGGCGTAGGCTAGGCCGTCTATTTGCACTAGAGTTTGAGAAATCTCAATCAGGAGTATCCTCAGCTTTACTTAGTTCTTCTTTGTCTGATTCTTTGTTGAGTTATAGAAATAATATTTGGGATTTATGACATAAACGGTTGGGTCATCCATATTCCCAAAAATTAAAATTTTTGTTTGACTCTGATTTGATTAAGAATAAAACTCCTGTTCATACTTTTGATGTTTCTTGCACTACGTGTTGTTTGAGTAAAAGTCATGTTTTAGCATTTCTTCATACATCTGAGCATGCCACTAAACCTTTTGAGATAACAAATAGTGATGTTTGGTCTGGTTCTATTACTTCACGATTGGGATACAGATATTTTGTATTGTTTATAGATGATTGTACCAGATATACTTGGATTTATTTTCTGCGACACAAATCAAAAGTCTTTGGCGCATTTAAATTATTTCATACTATGGTGCAAAATCGATTCAAGTGCATTGTGACTATCCTTCGCTTAGATTCAGGGGGAGAACATAGAGATGGAGGCTTTCTGGCCTACTTGAGAATTTATGGAATTCAGTCTCAGTGCAGTTGCCCAACACTCCACAATAGAATGGTGTGGCTGAACAGAAGAATGGACATATTCTTAGTGTTGTGCGGACATTACTACAAGAGTCTCATACTCCAACTTCGTTTTGGGTAAAAGCAGCCAATACAAATATGGTTTTTCACTGCGTCGTTGGCATTGACCCAAGATTGACCCAAGATCCTCCTATTTCAGATAGTAGTTCGATTATTCCACTGCGTTGTTTACCCGTATTTCTCGACCCCCTGACTGCTATGGTTTTCCTTCAAACCATAGTTCCTTTTCTGCTGTACTTCTTCCACAGATATCCCTAGACCTTATCAGAAATCCATTAGAAGTTCTCAATGGAAAGAAGCCATGGATGCCGAAATTCAAGCCCTCCATGAGAATGATACTTGGGATGGGTCTATACGATCAAACAGAAGTTAGATGGTTCCCTTGATCGATATAAGGCCCAGTTAGTTGCCCAAGGATACAGTCGGGAATATGGGATTGATTATGAAGAAACATTTGCCCCGGTTGCTAAGATCACCACACTTCGGGCTCTTATGGTCATATCTATTGTTCATTCCTGGACTATTTACCAATTTGATGTGAAGAATGTTTTTCTTCATGGTGAACTGAAGGAAACAGTCTGCTGAAACCTCCGCCTGGATATTGCAGTGATCCTTCACATGTCTGCCGCCTAAAGAAGTCTCTATATGGTCTGAAGCAAGCACTCAGGACTTGGTTTGAGCACTTCCGGGATGTTGTTGTTGCAGCTGGGTGTTGGGTATAATCAGAGTTCCTCTTACTACTCCCTCTTTGTTAAGAGAAGACCCCAGGGTATCACTATCCTCCTATTGTATGTTGGTGACATGCTTCTAACTGGGGATTATCATGACCACATTTGTGAGCTGAAGTCCTTACTTCATAACTCATTTCACATGAAGGACCTAGGTCCTCTTACTTACTTCTTGGGTTTTGGAGGTTCATCGTAACAGTCGAGGGTATTTTATTTGTCAACAAAAATATGCCTCCGATCTCATCAAATTAGCCAGAATCACAGATGAGAAACATGTTGATACCCCCCTAGAGCTTAATGTCAAGCTATCTAAATCCGAAGGCCCCATCCTTCCTGATGCTACCTTGTACCATCATCTTGTTGGCTCTTTGATCTATCTTACTATGACCAGGCCTGATATTTAATATGTTCAGGTCGTCAGTCAATTTGTCTCTGCCCCGCAACAACCTCATATGACTGATGTTCGCCGCATCATCCGTTATGTTAGAGACACAACCTCTAAGGGATTGTTTTTCTCTTCCTCATCATCTATGCAATTGAGGGTTTATGTTGATGCCGATTGGGTTGGTTGCCTTGACACTCGTCAATCCACTACTGAAGTCTTCATGGATCTCTCTCATCTCCTGGAAGTGTAAGAAACAACAAACTGTCTCCAAGTCTTCTGTTGAAGTCGAGTATAGAGCTATGTCTTCTGCATGTAGCAAGATTGTTTGGCTGAAGTCTCTTTTCATTGATCTTGATACTCCTCTTCCTACTCCTATCCCTCTGTATGCTGACAACACCAGCTATCAAGACCACATCTAATCCAATCTTTCATGAGAGGACTAAACATATCGAGGTGGATTGTCACTTTATTAGAGACCTTGTTGCAGGCTCTATATCTCTTCCTCATGTAGCCTCTCACATGCAGATTGCCGACATCTTCACCAAGGCCATGACAAAAAGTCACCACCTCATTCTTGTAGGCAAACTAAAGCTGATGTCTAAGCATTAGTTTGAGGGGGAGTGTGAAGATATACCTTGATGTACACTATTAGAGTAGTCCTTGTTGTACAGTATCGTATTCTTATTATTTTATTTGTTCTTTTATCATTCAGCCCTGTAAGGGCATTCTTGTAACTGTACATATCTTTTATCTCTTTAATATAAAAGAGACTCTTTGGGGTGGGGGTCAACTATTCTAGACACCCCTAATTCTGTTTTCTTCTTGCTCTCAATTTGGTTCACAAGACCTTCACAATTTGACCATTTTGTATCTTTCTTTCCTCGTTGTATGACCATATGATTGTAGGTCTGTTTCTTTGGCTGACTTTAGTGCCTTCAGTAAATGATCATAATATTCATCCTTTTTACTCATCATTAATAACTTCTCTTGTCATCAAATAGAAAAGGAAAAAAAGAATACTAGGATAACATTCTCTTCATGCTATGATATTCCACATTCAAGCTCACCAGTTGCTAAAAACATCTTAGTAGATAGTAGGACAATGAAGAAACATACAGATAAGTTAGATATGTCAAGTTGGCAAGCTCTTCCGGAATTACTGAGTTTACATCTTTCTCATAAACTTTCCTGGAAAAACAGAAAAAGTAAGTCAAATAAAACCCTTTTTTTGTTGGAGATGGAGGTGCAGATGTAGACAACATGTAAGACAAATTCCTCAAAACGAAAACAAAGAGATAGTAAAGGAAAAGAGAAAATATGCAAGTTGAGAGAGAGAAAGAAACATACAAATGAGTTATGTGGCAAGTTGATCCATTATTGTAGCTACAATTGCATTTAATCCCAGGGTTGAAATCCGTATCATCAATATTAGTTGAGTTAAGGATGGCAACACCACTACAAGGCTCTCCACTTATATTCCATGAACTAACATCAGATATTCCCCATTGTTGGAAGATAGAGTTTAAAGCCTTCACTGTGCTCATACACAATATTTGTTAATTAAGCAAACCAAAACATGTCATGAAGACATTAGAAAGAAACCCAAAATAATGCAACATGGAAAAGGGAAAGAAACCATGACTGCAAACAGAATTTACTAAATCAAGCTTTTATTCATCAAATAAACTCTTCTAAATTTCAAGTATACTAACTCTTTTGGTAGACTTAACATCAGGACTCAGACTCCCACAATAGACTCCAAACACAACTAGGAAACTAATCCAAAACAACTTTTGATTACTCCAAAACCAAGAGGCAAACCTATAAATAAACTACAAGAAAACTCAAATAAGGACTCTTAATACCTAAAACAACCCTAATAACACTTTGTTTAATTGACTATAATCAAACAAATCAAAAACAACACCTACAGAGACCTAGAAAATAGCAAGACTGAAATTCCTTAACAGATTAACACCCTATTAGTAAAACAGCTATAACTCTCTCAAAACACATGGGACTCATAAGATCTTGATCCAGTTGGATGAGTAATTGGAAACCTATCTAGCGAAAGATAAGTAAGACGATTTCAACTTTAACTTTCCAAACTTTGAAAAACCATCTAAAAACTCTTTGAACTACTATGACCCTCTTAGATGACTTAGCATGTTATTAAAACACTAACATATTAGAAAATAATCCTCAAATGATTTAAAATTGGTCCAATTCTTCAAATTCCTACATGAGTGGCAATTTTCTAGTTTCTGGCTTATTGATTCATCTATTAATATTTATTTTCTAAGTTGTTAGTATCTTAGTATTCCTCTTAGGGGTTCATAAGAGTTTAAAGGGGGCAGCTGCTAGAACCTTTGGCACCCCTATTCTTTTCTTCCTCTCCTTTTCTTGCATCAATACAGTTTTCATTGCTGTTTTTTCTAATTTTTATCAAATCTGAAAACCTAGTCTATCCAATAGTGAGCGTCTGAAAACTGGATGCAATTTTTTATCCACTTGGAAATTGTCTATCTTTAAGAGGTGAATCACACTCATCAAATCCACATTATCTGAAAATCGGGTCATGTTTGCACACTAAATATGTATGCAAACTTCTGGAGGCCATAACTATGTACTCCAATGTAATTGGGGGTGATCTTATTTTTTAGTTTGGGTAACTTTTCAAGATCTCTGTGTCCCATGGTGACGTAGGAACCTTCCCCACTAAGGTGACACCAATGTCCCATGGTGACACCAAAATCATACAACACGCAAGGTTTTGACCTCCTTAAAATAAGGTTGAAGAAAAGTGGTGTGATTACAACTTCCAATTTTGCAAAGTACTAAACAAAATTCTGATAAATACTTTAAACTATGTTACCCTCAAAAATGATATACCCTTTTTTATCAGTATAGACTCTATTGTTAAAGCAATAACAAATTAGAAAAATAATCATTGAAGACCTAAACCGACCAAACTCTGCTAGGCAATAATTGACAGGGCTAGATTAGTATTTACCAAACTCCATTAGGCGCATATGAGGAGTTGGCCATAGGAAAAGGGGACGTGGAAGACTATAAAGGGTGATACTAGAGATTGATATCAAAGAGTAACATTAGAGGTTCCGAACTGAAGGTGACAGCTACTGTTTTCCTGACCCAACCCTTCAATTTCTACTTACAATCTATTGGCATGGATTCAACTGTAGACTAAGGACTAACTAATCATCCAATGCAGCTTGGACTATCGCACTTTAATAGCACCAGATGATAGAGAGAGCTCTGCTATTGATACCTTCAATTGGGTCTGTAGTCGCTTGACCATTAGATTTGCTGACCAGAAACAAGAGGTAAATACAGCTGCAAATAATGGCAAATACTACAGGAGATTGAAACATCAACGAGACCTTCATCTTCCCTGTAATCACTCTGTGAACAGCAAGACACTGAAGAAATACCGCATGTTCTGAAAAAAGAAAGAACCGGAATGAGATTATTGATTGAATGTACCCCGAGCGAGTAAAACCGACTCAACTAGCGAGCGAAACAGAGTTAAAGTTTTAATTGTGTCTTCTTAAGGGCACTTCACCTTTGAATATATATTGCATAATTGCCAAAGAAAACAGGGTTTCTCTTTATAAAACCTCTGTATCTTTTCGATAGAAGAGATAAACTCTTTCTCCACTTGATAAGTTCATTCTTGGAAATAGAAAAAAAAAAAAAAGAGTGGAGAGGCGATTTCTATTTTCCCTTTATCAATTCATTACTAAACCAAAAATTTTAAAAAGATCCTACTTAGTGCTTACTGCTTACCTTTGTCAACGTTTTTGAAGTTTGATGAAATGGGAAGAAAATAACACATAATAATAAAAGAAAAATACCTGCAAAGAGAAACTCACGAGAGACATCTAACGAATGCAGAGACTCTTCAATTCAGCATCATGATCAGATTTAGCTGCTGCTCCATGAAACCAGCCATAGCAGAAACAGATTATGAAGGAGACACGACAAAACTGAATAGACACGAAAAGGATAAAACAATTAGAAAGAGGATAGATGGTACCGCAAAACCTGCAATCACCGGCGGGACGACTGGATATTTGGAGATATTGAGATAAGAAGGACCGACAAACGACGGAGGGGACTGGGAGCCTGGACGATGCCGTGAAACAGAAACTGGATAGTTGGCGAGAGAAGTCAGAAGAGTGGGAGAGTGGGTCAACTTGGGTTTTCTCTAAACGAAATGACCGAAATTGCCTTCTCCAAAACTCGCCTTTTGAAGAGATTGTTTACTGGTTTACTGGTATTGAGTTTTCAGCTCAAACGGTCAAACCCAGGCTAGGCTTATTAAATAAAAGGGCAATAATTAGGCAACTCAGGGCTGCAAACGGTTCGATAAACAAATCTTGATATCCGAATTTGTTTAGAAAAAATTAATCTTCTTGAATCTTGATTTCCAAATTCGTCTCGAATCCGTCGCATATCTGATTTAAAAAAAAAAAAAAAAAAAATGTGTATCTATCGCATATCTCACCGCACCCATTCGAATTTGATTCAAATGGACTGACGGATATCCATTTGATTCTATTTATCAAAATATGGATATGGATATGCATATGCATGGGAACATTGAAAATTCCATGGTGATATTCTGAGAAAGTGGGAATATTGTAATCACTGGTTTTATGGGCTTCAACGATCAAACTTGTACAAATAGCAGCCTGGCGGCAAGCATCAATTGCCGGTTGGTCGTGCAATTTGGGCGGGACCAATTTGATTTTAGACCAATCCAATCACAATTTTATACGGATTGGGCTTAGATTTTCGATCTTCAAGTTGGGCCTGCGATCAAAAGTTTGGTTTTTTTTTTATTTTTGGACTAGGTTCAGGTCTAATCCTTAGGTACCCTGAACCCAATCCTATCTTAATCTAATCCAAGCCTGACTATGCATACATTTTTAATAAATCCAACGCATATACATATATGCATATGTATATACATATATTTGCATTAGATTTTCATGTGGACTGATTGACCAACCCCAGTCCAGTCTAGGCCCAAGCCTAAGGATGCAAACTGATTGGATCGGATTCGAGGTGGGGTATATTCAAATTTGATCTGATTGGTCTCATATGCATTGATTCGAATTCGAATCCATTAAGGATGTCAGATATCTAAATATGATCCGATCTAATTTAATTTCTGAAAATTTAAAAAAAAAATATAATCATTTATATAAAGAAAATATACAAAGCATTTCTCCAACAATTTTCATCATATATATACATGTTTTTGTTAAACAGTGTATGCCCTTAGCTCAAATCAAAATGATGTACATTATGGCATTTATTGTAAATGAATAAAGTACATATTTGGTTCATGTTATTATGGTGTGTTTCAGTGTAATACCCTTAAACTGGACACATATGAGACTCGTGTTAGTTTAGAATCTTCACAACCATTGGATAGATCTAGGGAGATTTATCCTCCCAAGGCTGACATTGGTGTACCGCCAAGTTAGTTGGGGTGATTTGTCTCAGCTGCTAGGGTGAGACCTGAGGTGCATGTAGTGTGGATTTTCTTGAAACCCTGAACCGAACCAGAATTCCAGTATTGCCCTGGACCTTGGAGATAGATGGGCAAAACTGGAATGTTACACCTGACCCCTATACTCGATTATAATACTACACTAGGTGTCAGATTGGGATGTCTTTGATATGCCAATCAGTGAGATCCTTAGAGAGGGTCAAAACCTGGGTATGTTGGGATAGTCCGAGAATTCACCTGAGTAGGTGATCATAGTGACAGGATCAACCCCTTTGTCGGACAAAGTGAATGATCGGGGATGCACTCGCTCTGATGAAAACCAAAATTGTCGACAATCGATTTCAACCGTTGAAATTTGTTTTGCAAAATATATTTATATAAAGATATATACGTATATATATATATATATATATATATATATATATATATATTATGCTTTCAAAATGTTTACAAAAATGTTTTAATTTCTGGGATCCATGTGAGTAGAGAGTGCAGCACTATACCTTGCAGCATACCTTGCAGCCGAAAGAAAGGTCATCTCTTGTCAGGTAGTGTTTGATCATTATGGGCTGAGAGGTTAAGTGTAAGACCATTTGGATTATGATAACTCCTAATGAGATTAGGAGGTTTCTTAATCACAAAGAAAAGAAGAGAAACCCTAATATCGAATTACAAGAATTCAAACCTTAAGGGTATTTGCAGAACACACTGCATCTTGAGATAGGATCTCAGAGAAAACCCTAGAGAGAAGAAAGCTATCCGCCACCTTCTGCTCTAGCTCTCTCCTCTAGCAGCCGCCGCCATCTACTGCCAGTGCTCATTGCTTCCATCGAGTTCTTCAGAAGGACCTGGTTCGTGGGACGAACACTGCTGGTTCTGCTTCATTATCACTGTGTCATCTTCAGTGGGAGCGGTTCTTGGGAGTTTCTTTGGGCGTGAACACCGACATTGGGAGATACTGTTTCTCCGGATCAGGTATATCCCTTCCCTTCTCTTTTGGTTCAGATTTGGTTCAAGTCAGATCCTTGAATACTGTATTCTAAATTTAGGGAATATGATTCCCAGTTGGAAGAAATGTAAGAAATTTTTGAAATTCGCCCACCCATTCTGCACCCTTTTGGTGTCCATATGATGGATCTTACCATTCTTTTAGAACCCATGTGGCTAATGTGTAGATCAATGTTTGGGTTCCACGCCATACAAGGATAGCCAACTGGGCAGTAGATTAGGAGGTTAAGTGAGCACATAGACTTAATGGGCCTAAAGCCCAATTCGAACTGACTTGATAAGATTAGTTAAATAGGGGCAGTTCTGGGATTTAGATCAGCATATACGATAAGGGATTATCCCTACCCACTCAGAAAGTCCAAATCCAAATAAATATTTGGATCAGGAAACTCCTAATTTGATTAGGAAGGTTGATCTTTATCTGCAGATAAGATAAGGGATTATCCTTATTTCTTAAAGAGAGTCCAGATCCAAATACAAGATTTGGATTAGGAAACTCCTAATGAGATTAAGAGATCCTCTCTTTAAAGGCTATAAATAGAGGAGGAGGGCGAACCTCCAAAATACAATAACAACAACAAGAAATCAGATCAAGAATTCTTGGTTCGCAAATCACAAGGATCTACAGTTTGACTGCTCCTGCCTTCTACTCTTGCCGCCCCTGTCAGTTCTGAAAGAATGGTAGGATCCATCCAATGGACGCCATGAAGGTTGCGGAATGGGTGGGTGAATTTCAAAAATTTTCCTACCTTCTCTCAACTGGGAATCATATTCCCTCAATTTAGAAAATAAAGTCAAGAAATCTGTTCTTGACATCAGTCTTGCAAGAAAGACTGAAAAAGATTCAGTGTTCAGTACTTTCAGAGGATTCTTGTGAAGGATCCAGTGTGTAGGACGCACCCTGCTGGTTCTGTTCCATCGACAGCTGTGTCATCTTCAGCAGGAACGGATCTTAGAGCATTCTTTGGGCGTGAACACCAACTTTGGGAGATA